ACATCTGAAACCGGGCCCATAGCTACAGTGGGGCATCTTGGGGCCCAGCCCCATGACTTCCTGCCAAGACACCCCAACTTCCCATCCAGCCCAGGCGCTCCCTTGGGGGGGTGCCCCCTGACTTATTTAAAGCCCCCGCCCCCGAATTAAAAAAAAATCCTGGCTACGGGCCTGTCTGAAACCTAGTCCTAGGAGGCAGCAACAGGGCAAGACCTTGCCCTTTGTGCCTTGTTCGCTGGACCTCCAGGGTAACTGTTTAGCGGCTATGTGAAATAGTATGCTGAACCATTGATCTTATCTAGCAGGGCTCATGTTCTTAAAATCATGGACTGAAACGTCTCTCCCCCCCACACACATTTTTTTCTCCATTTTTTAACATCCATCCTGATAAAGAGATCTGGTGAACCTGAAAGCTTACACATTGTTTTGAGACATTTTAGCTGGTCCTGGTTATGTGGATTGTGGTTTCTTTTGGAATTTCGGAAAAGCGTATCTGCAAACAAGTTCAGACTACTTTAAAATGCTACTGCCCCTGGAAAAGCTCCAGAAGATCCAAGCCAATGCTGGTAGAACAGGGAGGACAGGAGAGAATATCCCCTTCAGGCCTTAAGGGGGGGAAATTGCAAAAAGGACATACTACCTTGCCAGCCCTATTTTTTATCAGACATACTCCAACACTAAGAAATTGTTGCTCTACCCCACACATATTTGTGACTGGAATTCAAAGTATGAGTCTCAGGCAACTGATTTATAGCAAAATGGAAATTCAGACCATTTATGCATACGTGCAAACTGTTGCACCAACGTTCTTAACTCACTGATGTTCGTAAAACTTTCTGCAGAATTTTTGGCTGCTCCAGGAGTAGCTCCGAATTTACTGCCCCGTTACCCTGTTTTCCGGATCCACTTTTCTCACAATTTTTTTCCCTTTGAGTATTAACTCACAGTTTTCAAGTGTGGAATTTCTGAAATCGAATTTTGTTTCCCGATGCCCTTTTGTGGCGGCAGCATCACCTGTACACCCCACCCCAAAAAGCGTAGTTTTGATTGCGTCACGATGCTGATTTTAAAAAAACTTAATAACAACACTGTGTTATAACACAGGGACAAAATGAGTAGTGAGGTTTAATGTAACCTTTTTCATGCAATTACCTGTCCATGAAGTTCCTTTCCTTATTTACTTTATGGTTTTTGTAGGTAGGTTTTGTTGCCTCACGCTTGTACTGTTTCTCCCCCCCCTTTCCCCCCCTCATAAAGCATTTTTAGTTTTCCAAAACAGACAGACATAAAATTAAGGATAAAGGTAAAGGTTTCCCTTGCTCGAAAGCCAGTCAAGTCCGACTCTAGACATGTGCAGTGTTTCCATTTACCATGCACGTCAACTGAATATGAATCACATAGCAGAATATCTCATAAAAAGCCACTAGACCAGACGCATTTTGGTTCTGAGCCTTCTTCAGTGGCCTAAAACCAAATACCACACATTTAAAACAAATTGTAAAAGTTAAGGGCTGGGCAGGTTTGTAGTATTTCAATATGAGGGTAGGCTCCACGTGAAAATCAGGCCTGTATGTAATTCTGAGCCAACCCACAAAGAGGGCAGTGTCTCTCTCCAATTATTCTGTCTCTGGCCAAGAATCCATCATCTCTGTGGGACCTTTGAAATAACAGCAACCATGCTGTCCCCCACAATACAGCCAGTCTTTTTTTTTTACTACAATGTTATGATGTTACTGCACATGCGCAAAAAAGATGAAGCACATGACGACACATTTAGCATGCTTCGTAATTATTGAATAACACTGTTATGAATAGGTGTATCCAGTTCGCAGGCCATTTTCTTAGTTGGTTCCCCATGATATAGGCAGCCTTTTTTTTTTGCAATGTTATGATGTTATAATGTTAGTGCACATGTGCAAATAAGATGAAGTACATGACGACACATTTAGCATGCTTCGTAATTATTGAATAACACTGTTATGAATAGGTGTATCCAGTTCGCAGGCCATTTTCTTAGTTGGTTCCCCATGATATAGGCAGCCTTTTTTTTTTGCAATGTTATGATGTTATAATTTTAGTGCACATGCGCAAATAAGATGAAGAACATGACAACACATTTAGCATGCTTCGTAAGTATTAAATAACACTGTTATGAATAGGTGTATCCAGTTCGCAGGCCATTTTCTTAGTTGGTTCCCCATGATATAGGCAGCCTTTTTTTTTTGCAATGTTATGATGTTATAATGTTAGTGCACATGCGCAAATAAGATGAAGAACATGACAACACATTTAGCATGCTTCGTAAGTATTAAATAACACTGTTATGAATAGGTGTATCCAGTTCGCAGGCCATTTTCTTAGTTGGTTCCCCATGATATAGGCAGCCTTTTTTTTTTGCAATGTTATGATGTTATAATGTTAGTGCACATGCGCAAATAAGATGAAGAACATGACAACACATTTAGCATGCTTCGTAAGTATTAAATAACACTGTTATGAATAGGTGTATCCAGTTCGCAGGCCAGTTTCTTAGTTGGTTCCCCACGATACAGCCAGCCTTTTTTTTTTTGCAATGTTATGATGTTATAACGATATTGTACATGCACAAAAAAAGGAGGTTCTGTCACTGACAAAGTACATGACGACACAGCCACACAACCCATTTTCAAAGGAAGTGAAGAACCCATGGGGAGAGTCAGATCCGAATTCAAGAAAACTCTCCCCAAAATAAATGCCCTTTTGCCAAAGGGGTGCCGCAAAGGAGCGTCAGCTGGGGATTCAACTTGCTGGGAAACAGTGGCGACACTGAGGTGTGCCTAAAAAGATCTATGAAATTGATAATCCACTTATTTGACCTGGTGTTTCAATTTCCACTGACATATTTGGAAATCAGAATTGAACATATCCTTTCAAGTCAAGCACCAAACAGAAAATGAAAACTCACACCCGTCAAAGTACTATTCTTCTGAGCTGTCAACACGAACCCTTAAAATAGGATTGTGCAGGGGGCGTTTCGTAGAAAAAGAGCTAGGGGAACTCATTAGCATAACTCATTAGCATATGCCACACCCCCTGACATCACCGGAAGTGTGTCATAAGGCCACACACCCCGCCCCCAACGGTCCCGGCCCCCGCTGCCGGGACCGTTGCGGTGGACCTGCAAGGCCAGCAGGAGTGCAAGGAAGCCCCGCGAAGGCCCTCCCTGGCCCCAGGCAGGCAGGGGTGGGGAGAGGCAGGGAGGAAGCAACTTACCCTCCCTCTTCTCCTGCCTCCTCCTGCCTGAATGAGGGCCGGAAGCGGGGCGGCTGGAAGCAGGGGGCGGGGCTTCGTCATGTGCCCCCCCATACATCACCCGGGGGAACTGCAATCCCCTGCATTCCCCCCCGAAATGACCTCTGGGATTGTGAAGAAAAATTCTTAATTCCTCTTAATTTTTCTTCACACAACATCCCTGAAATCCAAAAAATTGTTTCCTTCCCCCTTTTTTAGGGATTTGGCGTTTGGAATTGATTAGAAACTTTTCTTTATCAAAGAGAAATCTGAAGGGAGGAGGGGAAGGAAGGCAAGCTCTGCAGAATTTCACTCTGTAGATGCTCAGAGGCAGGCAATGTCTTCCCAGACCTTTCTGTACTTCTATTAGGGCACCACTCTGTGGTAAGTAACATAAAGGGAACAGAAATCAAAGAGAAATGTATCTTTTAAAAGAGAATGAGAGGAATTAATGGTTATAGTAAAATAATGAATTTTTGGAAACAGAACTTCCCCTTCCCATAAGCACACTATTAAAAACAACACCTTAATATATTTGTAAAGAATCTGAATTTCAGCAACTGAGCAGACACTTCATTGTGATCCATCAGAATATATTTTGTACTTCCCAGTTTCTTGATAAGGTAGCACAAACCATTTGCAATCAGTTTAACAGCTTCCCAAAAGGCAGAGAACACAGCTAGAGTTTGGAGGTTGCCTGTCGATCTCTCCGAACCAGTGTTCCATCTATCTCTTCCACACTTCGACAGCCTGGAAACAGGAAAATTAAGAACATAAGCCACTAATCATGTGCTCCCCCCCAAATGAGCACTTCTGTGATCTTACATGTTAACAGAACTATGCAGGCCATGTCTGTTCTTCTACAGCTGTGACTCGTATTCAACTAGATACCAGGAAATTTAACAAAAGGACAGTAGCAGTAAAACTGTATCAAGCATCAGTTTTCCTACTCAAAATAATTATTTTTACTTTGCTGCTGTTGACGAAATACATTCAAACAAGGTTGTTCGGGTGAAAACATACATTGTTTTGGAGCCAACCAGCTTTTTTGCCGCCCTGAGCCCATTCGCGGGGAGGGCGGGATATAAGTGTAATAATAAAATAATTTTTTAAAGGGATATCGTCAAAAGATGATGGGAACTTCATGGACAAAAGCCATGTGGGGACAGCGGCTGTACTCAGGAGAACTGAGCCAAGAAGCTGGGTGGATACGATCTGTTCTGTTGTATTACAAAGACTGAGTAACAAAATTTCAGCATCTAAAATACATCCTAGGGTAGATCTTTTCCTTCAAGGAAAATGAGTTACTATAAATAGATTATAAACCCACAGACCCTCAGGACTGCAGCTCCTGCAATGTTCCACTCTGACAGCACTGCTCACCTGAGCAAAGCCTTCCATAGTCATCACCCCACAAGCAGGAAAAATTGGCAACTACCTGTGCATGCACATTCTCTATGGTGGCTCCTGCATTGTGAAATGGTCTGACTGAAGCTTTTAGAACGCTTCTATCATTTTGCAAAATGTGCAAAACAATTGTTCAGGAGCGTGTGACGAAATGCATTTTCTCCTGAGAGGTTGGCAAAAAGCAGACCTCCGCGGCATTTTAAAAGGGTTTTTTTCCTCCTTCTTTTCTCTGGGAAGGAGGGAGTCCATCAATGGCTTTCCAGGCTTACCTTCATACAAATGCTAATAAGGTTTAGAAAAAGGAATGGTCAAACTTCCCCATTCTCCACCACCACCCAGGCAGGGAACAGAGAGGTAGAGGGTGTCAAATTCTAGAGAGGCTGAGGAAGTAGATTCCTGGAGATCTCCAGGAAGTGCATCTTGGACCTGGTCAGGGGGAGGAGACAGGGATTTGATAAAATCTTCTTGTAACAGGAAATAGCTCTTTTTCTTTGGGATGCTGCTTTGAGGAGAACTCTGAGCTCAGGTCTGCAAGCAGGTGGCCATTGACCATATGATTTGCCTAGGGAGCTGAAGGACACTTTAAGGTAAAGGCAACTCTTTAGAGATCTAGAATTTCCTAAGCTAAAAGAGCCTATTTTATTTTAACATCTTATAGGGTATGTAAAGAGGTAAAGAGGATTATAGGGTATGTAAGAGAGGTAAAGAGGATTAGTGTTTTTGTCCTAATTTCTTTTGAATTATCTTGCTCAATCTGGTGCTGTAAACATTTTCTTTTTAATAAATGCTTTAAACTGTTGGTGCTGGGAGTGGTTCTCTGTACCACACAGACCTCCACCATTTCAGACACGGTATTTTAAAAGGGGCTCCAGGGGGGCTGGCAAGTGGCTATTCCTCCAAGGGTGCCCAAGGGAGTAAACTGTCCCCATGGTAACCAGGAACTGGGTAGCAGGAGACACAGGGGCAAGGCCTTAAAACTGGGAAAGAAGGCTGGGAGTCCTGTCCCTCCCTGTGGGCAATTCCTTAACAAAAGGCATGTGGTGGCAGCAAGTTACCCTAGAGAGAAAGAAAAGCCCCTCCAGGGAGTTGGGAACCCCTAGGAGGGCAGGGTGGAAATGGGGCCTGCAGGCCAGAGCAGGTATGTTCCACCACAGAGGGCATTTTTGTAGAAGGAGCAAAGCTGAGGCATAAAGGTTAAGCTCAGGTGGTGATTCTTATTAGGGATAAAGTTTTCCGTACACTGTCTTTTTGCCTTAAACACAAACATTTGCATACTAGATGTACTGACTGACTGAAAAAGGTTTTTTATAATACGTCTAATCCACCTTGAGTCCCAATGAGAAAGGCAGACTACAAATGGAAACAACTACCACCACCCATCCTGTCTTCCAGGTGACTGTTTTTACCAAAATATGTTCTATGCTTAATAGGGCTGTCTTCCTCCCCCCCCCCCCAAAAAAACCCTGATCCATAAGTGTTCCAAACCTTTGTCAACAAGCCCTCAATGGTAGCACCATCTACCGATCATTCATTTGCTGGACCGCATCTCTATGAATTACCATAGAATCAATAACTTCTGTGAGAAGACTATGCAATGAATATTCATTCATTTCAAGCAATGAAAATTCCACTCAACAACCCTAGCGGTTTATGAGCCTCAGATGTTGCTTCCAAGGATGACCTGGAGTTGTATTCTTGAAGGGAGCCTGCACGACTTCTGTGAATGCTAGAATGTGAAGCATCAAAACCATAAGAATTGCAAGGGTCTCACAGAAGAGGTATATGGAACATCTCAAGACAGAAAAACAACATGTTTCATTCTAAATCCTTTATTTCATGGCAAATCAAGCTCTCCTTTCCAAATAAGTAATCTTCATCCGCAGAAGTGTATGAACAGCATATGGGTTCGGAACATCTCAAGACAGAAAAACAACATGCTTCATTCTAAACCCTTTATTTCATGGCAAATCAAGCACTCCTTTCCAAATAAGTAATCTTCATCCACAGAAGTGTGTGAACAGCATATGGGTTCACAACCAACATGCACATGTACAAGATTCTTAATTCCATGTTATGGATCTCACTTTAACGTTTATCCGAAGAAGAAGAAGAGGAGGAGGAGATTGGATTTATAGCCCAGGCTTCACTACCCAAAGGAGTCTCAGAGCAGGTTACAAGCTCCTTTCCCTTCCCCTCCCCACAACAGACACCCTGTGAAGGGAGGTGGGGCTGAGAGAGCTCTGACAGAAACTGCTCTTTTTCAAGAAAGAACAGCTCTTATCAGAACTACGGCTTGCCCAAGGTCATCCAGCAGGTACAAGTGGAGAAGTGGGGAATCAAACCAGGTTCTCCCAGATTAGAGTCCGCGCACTTAACCACTACACCAAACTGACATACGAAAGGAGACATCACAATTCTTTCATATTGTGCATCTTACCAGAAAGTGCCATCGCTAACCGGAACTCTTCTTTCAATATCTGGAGGACTTCCTTCACACCCTCTTCACCCTGATTAAGTTAGACACACTGCATAATAAATCACCATAAGGTTATCGTGAGGCATCAGTTTTCCTGGTAAGCATCGACTGGAGAGAATTTCCCACCTCCAATCCATCCCACCAACACTTTTAGTTGCTACTGTTTCAGGCTATGAATGGACAACCAAGCCCTATCTGCCAGTTCTGTTTTCAACTCAGTATACTCAAGTCCTAGGGAGTAACCAAAACAGGACCAGCAGGAGATGGAAGGGCTCCTTGTACAAAACTCTGAGGGCTCAGATCACCCCAGGGAGTTGGGCAAGGTAGGAGGGGGGATACTCCAGGAGGAGGGAGAATACTAGCAGCATGCTAGTCCCCCCCCCCACACACACACTTTCAGTCCCCCCACACACACACTTCCAAACGGGGAGAAGCCAAAGGAAGCACTAAAATCAGAGGTCGATTCGGGGGGGATCGCGGGGGATTGCAGTTCCCCGGGTGAGGTACGGGGGGCGGGGCACACAACGAAGCCCCGCCCCTTGCTTCCGGCCGCCCCGCTTCCAGCCCTCATTCAGCCAGGAGGAGGCAGGAGAAGAGGGAGGGTAAGTTGCTTCCTCCCCACCTCTCCCCACCCCTGCCTGCCTGGGGCCAGGGAGGGCCTTCGCGGGGCTTCCTCACACTCCCACCGGCCTTGCAGGTCCACCGCCGGGCCCCTGATGTCAGGGGGTGTGGCATATGCTAATGAGTTATGCTAATGAACCCCCCTAGCTCTTTTTCTACGAAACTACCCCTGACTAAAATGGGTTTCCTCCCTTTAAACTGAACAGCGGACCCACCAGTCAGCTGTTCACTTTAAATGATTGGCAGCTCCCCCTCCCTTCCTTCCCAGGGGAGGGGGGAGGAGACCTCGGCCAGTGAGGGGAGGGGAGGCTTGGCTTTGTGCCACTTCTCCCCGTGTGATGGAGGGGGTGGGGTGAGCTGTAGCATAGTGGCAGCCCTGGGGAGGGAAGCAGGGGGATCTGTGTGCTCGGGGCTGGGAATTTGTGTGCCAGCACAGGCTGGCACAGCTTAGTGGGAACGCTGACCCCCCCACACACACTACTTCCTCTTTTTCCTCACTGTGTCTGCTCATAAGTACAGACACAATGGCCACAGCATTAAGACCCCTCACAGCCCAGAACTACCACCACCTTTTCCGCACTGACCTGTGCTGCAGTGCTACAGCTGGGTTTGGCAGGGAAAGGGAAACAGGCCCTTTCAAGAATTATGGGTAGAGGTCTGGGGTGGCACGTGCATTTATGAAAGCAAAGCTTCGCTTCACTCAGCCCATATCTAGTGGCAACAGAATGAGTGTCCACATGGACTGTCCCCCATAGCCACCCTGGAGATTCCTCTTTGAGCTGGGGTTTATTTTTTAATATATGGGGAAGATCCAGGAATGGCATGAATGATGGTTGGAATCTACACAATTGTCTGGTGGATGGTCACCATTAATGTAAGGGCTTCCTGCTTTCTATGTGGAGGGGGGGGAATCTGCGGAAGCAGCTGGGACCTCAGTAGATCTACCACCATCCCAGGGCATAGGAATGCTGTAAGGAAGGCACTTAAAAAACCAAAGAACTATACCCACAGTAGAGTTTATATTTGTTTGGCTTCCATATAATGGGTGGGCAAGAATGGAAAATCTGAGTGTGAGTGTTGTCCCTATGTCTGGAAGTGAAACCAAGCCCTAACCAAAAATTTGGACACGGACTTTAGCACGTAAGAAAAATATGTGGTGGGGTATTCATGCATTGCTGAGCGGTCAGGTTAGAACGGATAAAAGGAAGTACTTCTTAACCCAAAGAGTGATTAAACACTTGGAATTCACTGCCACAGGAGGTGGTGGCGGCTACAAGCATGGACGGCTTCAAAAGGGAATTAGATAAGCATATGGAGCAGAGGTCCATCAGTGACAATTCGCCACAAGGTATAGATAAGGACTCTGGGGCAAGTGATGCTCTGTCTTCTTGGTCCTTGGGGGGGGGTCAACAGTGGGAGGGCTTCTAATGTCCTGGCCCCACTGGTGGACCTCCTGATGGCACTGGCATTTCTGGCCAACGAAAATGTATAATCAGAATGAAAATAATAAGAATAATAAAAATATTTAAACAAAAAAAAAATGTTATCTGGAGGCTGCTTCGGTTGGGATTTTAGAAGAAGAGGAGGAGGAGATTGGATTTATATCCCGCCCTTCACTCGGAGTCTCAGAGCGGCTTACAAATTACTTCCTATTCCTCTCCCCACAACAGACACCCTATGAGGGAGGTGGGGCTGAGAGAACTCTCTGACAGAAACTGCTCTTTTCAAGGACAGCTCTGACAGAACTATGGCTTGCCCAAGGTCATCCGGCCAGGTGCAAGTGGAGGAGTGGGGAATCAAACCCGGTTCTCCCAGATCAGAGTCCATGCCTTTAACCACTACACCAAACTGTACAATACAATCAGGGACACTTAGTGAGTTCTGCTGTGTCAGGGTGGATCCTGCCGCTATCCTACCATTCCAGCCTAAGGAGCCTTCCTCCAACTTCAGTGGTTCTTCTGCAGGAGGAAGAACCACTTACACTGGAGGAAGGCCTCCTAGAGGAAGGGTGGATCCACACACACTGTTTCTCAGTTTATTCAACAGTAGCCTGTCATTCCATCAAATACATTAAACATAAAGATTTGTTCTGCAGTTAGATGTCTCCCCTTTCATTCATATCTCAGAAAGTGTAGAGTTCTTTGGATCTAGCGGCCAAATAAGACGTTTCCCCTCCCAGGGTTGCCACTCTGGGTTGGGGAATCCGTGAAGACTGGGGAGGGGGGGGATCCTGCAGAGGGACAGGTCTGGGGAGGGGAGGGTCCTCAGCAGAGTATGCCATAGACTCCACCCTTCAAAGCAGCCATTTTCTCCAGAGGAACTGCTGTCATGGGGCCGCGCAAGAGCCTTTGCCAGATTTTCCATTCATTCAAAATGTAATCCCAGGTCTGCCTTGCTTGGATGCAGCCGCGTTGCTGTCCTACGTCTGGCAAGACGACCACCTCTGCGCCACCTCATGGGGCTCGGCCACCTCATGGGGCTTGGCAGTGGAACTGCAAGGCCGGCGGTGGCGGCCGAGACCGTTGGGGGCAGGGTGTGTGGCCTTATGACACACTTCCGGTGATGTCAGGGGGTGTGGCATATGCTAATGAGTTATGCTAATGAGTTCCCCTAGCTCTTTTTCTACGAAATGACCCCTGGCTGTAATTCTGGGAGATCTCCAGTTCCCACCTAGAGGTTGGCAACCAGTGTTCTCTCTAAGCTGAGTGAGTGTGGGCTAGCTCACAGTTTTTTAGCCTCCGGCTCACACATTTTTGCCTTAGCTCAGGAAGGAGGGCTCCAGAGCAAACTAATTTATACAGTCGCCAAATTACTCGCCCACAACTTTAATGCCAGCAGCTCACAAAGTAGATTTTTTGCTCACAAGACTCCACAGCTCAGCGAAAGCATTGTTGGCAACCCTTTTCTTTTACCCTCACACCTTACAAGGTGAAATTATATTGGGAAATGGTGACTGACCTACTTTCAATCCATTGAGGTCACAGCTGAGTGGGGATTTCAACGTGGGGCTCCCTGGTCCTCAACCCACCATCTACCTAGGCAGACGTCATCTGCCACATCCAAATTAACGCTTGGGTGTGGGGAGAAGCTCCCGCAGCACGACAAAACATGGAAGGATATTTTTGTAAGGACAAAGAAGAAAAAAGGGGGGAAAAACTGAACCTAAACCTTGAATTCAGAACCTAAAAAGGTTAGTCAAGAGTAGAAAAGGGCCAACTCTAAAACTCTAATTATAAAACATACAAAAATATATATGTCTTTATTCACCATAAATTAACCTAAGGAACGTTTGATTGGGAACATTTGGCTGTACAATCTCAGAAGAATATACAGTTGACCAGAAAGAAGTACCACTGGACAAGTGATTACACTGGAGGCTTCATTTGTATTTTTTTATTTCTTTTCCTTGCCCAGTGGTTAAACTTCAGAACAATTGGTTTCTGGTCTTTATTCCATATTTTGTATATGTAGGACTGTATGTATTTTTTCATATCAGCCTATATGTTCTGTCTGTATTAGACCTCTGAGGAAGGCCTGTAAAGGCCGAAACGCGTTAGGTCTATCTTATTAGCCCTTGTATGTTTTCGTATTTGTATATGAGGTTTGAATGGGCCCTTTGTTTGTTATTTTAATTTATGGTGAATAAATACATATATATTTTTGTATGTTTTAGAGTTGGCCCTTTTCTACTCTTGACTAACCTTTTAAGGATATTTTTGTACCCAGCATGCACCCTGCACGCAAAGGAGGGAGGGACTCCCCTGCACCTCCCTTCCTCTAGAGTAGCAGGGGCACATCAAAAGGTTGTGAACTTTCTCTCTGGGGTTATCCAGCACCTGGAATGGGGACAAGGAGGGGATTTATTTGGCAAAGGGTAAAGTTTGCCCAGAAGGGAGGCTCCCATTTCAGTCTGTCGCCTAAATGGTATGCCACCAACCGAACAACCAACCATATACGGATATTTGTTTAATTTATTCATACCCTGCCTTTCTCCCCAACGAGGACTCAAACTGATTTACATCATTCTCCTCTCCTTTGATTTATCCTCACAACTCTGTGAGGTGGGCTGGGCTGAGAGGGTGTGGCCGGCCCGACGTCACCCAGACCGTCTCCATGGCAGAGTGAGATCCGTGGCCCTTTCTGCGCTCTCCTTTTAATCCATGTTCGCCATGGTGTCCTCCAAGCAATTCTGCACTAAAATCGAATTCAACCTTCTTTTTATTCTGGGTTTGTTTCTCCCCCATTCTGCACTAAAACTGAGTTCAACCATCTTCTTATTCTGGGTTCTCTCCCCCACCCCCATTCTGATCCCTTCAGTAGTCAGCCCGGTTTCAGTCTGCTGTTTCCACGAGTCATTTGGATGCTGTTTTGCTGGGGACTTAAATTGCCTCGACTCAGAACACTGAGAAAATCCGGAGTAGCAGGAAAATGTAGAAAGGACCACAATCCTCGTCTGACACTCTAACCACTACATTCCAGTTGAGGAAGACGTGTGCAGACCTGCCTTTTGAGACCCCACCCTGAGTAGCTGTTCTTGCTCTGTTTCAACCTTACCTTGTAGACGAGACCCCAGACCACGGGCCTGCCAACAAACACTGCTTTGGCTCCAAGGGCCAGGGCCTTGAGAACATCTGAGCCTTTCCTTATACCACCGTCTAGGAACACTTCCACCTTCCCTTCCACAGCATCTATTATTTCAGGCAGCACCTCGATCTGCAAAAGAAAGAAGGAACACCAACATTGGCTCAACAGTCTGTTCAAGTCTCCAAAATGTCAGGGTCAAAGTCTGCTTTTTTTGAGAACAAGCAAGAACACCCATGTGGATTTTACTGGCACACTTCTTAAACAACTTCAGACTGGGAAATTCCTGGAGATTTGGAAGTGGGGCCTGTGGAAGGGAACGTTTGGGGAGCAATTTCACCTAATATCTATGATATACCTAGGGTTACTATTGGGAAGTACCTGGAGTCTGGATTGGGAAGTACCAGGAGACTTTGGGGGAGGAACCTGGGGAAGGCAGAGTTTGGGGAGGGGAGGGGAGGGACCTTAGAAGGGTAAAATGCCACATCGTTCACCTTCCAAAGCAGCCATTTTCTCCAGAGCAACTAGTCTCTATTGTCTGGAGGTGTGTTGTAATTGGCTTGCCAAGTCCCCCCGGGGGGTGGGGAAAACCCCACCCCAGAGGCCCACTACCCGCCGCCAGCGGATCGGGCCCCAGGAGTAGCCCCACCCC